AACTGAATGCAAGTGGCTACAAGACAAGAAGAGAATTCCCACCCGAGAGTAAGGAACAGCAGTGGGCCTCAAAGAGAAGGTGCTGAATTCCTCAGGACATGAGAGGAAACCAATGAGATTTGAAAAGAAAGACCTGGGTTGAATTCTCTGGGTCGTTGGCTATTTCCTTGCTTACCACAAAGGTTTGCAATATGGATTTAACTAAAACAAGGAATGCCTGGCATCAGTCATAGTGCTGGAGAACAGAGTGGGTGCACAATGAATACTAGTCCCTCCTCCCTGCCATCCTCCTAGTGAGCAAGGATTTTCTTTCAACACAGTACAAGAAATGGCTCTGTTTTCAGATGGGGGCTGCAAAACTGAACCAAGAATGTAAATTGGAAATGACTAGAAGATCCTGATCTGTGTGAATCTACAACAAGCTGAATATAGAAGCAGGAGACCTGTACCTGTAAGTTGCCTAATTTGTATAATTTGCACCTTGAGATCCTGTTAACTAGAGCAAAATAGTTTGTTCCCTTCAGCACTTAAGATGTTCCTCTGAAGAGCACACAGTAAAGAGAAGCACACAAGAGAATCTCAGTGTTAGGAACCAAAAGATGAATCTGGAGCATAGAACGTAAAAGGCTCTGCTTAAGAACCGATAGTGGCGAGAGCTCATCACTGACCGGCACAGGAAGGATTAGTTAAAGGAGATCAGCAGCCTGCTCGGCTGCTGCCAATCTTCACAAGCTGGAAATTGCTAGATGTTGGCAAGATGTACTTTACGTGAGCTGAAATGTGCATCTCTGTAACCTCTACCCCACTGTTCCTCATTTGTTTCTCTAAAACAAAAAAGCAAGCAAAAAACTAACAAGCATTTAACACTCATTCATGGAGTATTGGGAGCTGAAATGCACAAGTCTGAGTGAATGAGTACAGAAATGAAGAGGCAGTGGTCACTCGAGAAGGAGTTAAGCTTTCTGGAGTGGTTACTGCAGCACTGACATGGAGAAGGACTGAGGAAGAACAAGGCCACCGCGATGTCTATGGAGAGGAAAAGGCAGAGGAGGGTGTGCCATCAGGAAAAGAGAAAACAGAGACTTCCTTGTCTTCCAAATCCCTGAAATACTTGCAAGGAGTAAGAGTCTTTTCAGACTTCTAATTTCCAGATCAAACCATGGATTCCTCTGGATAACATCAGAAAAGTTATTATCAGAAAAGCAGTACAGAGCAGTGTTTAAGGTAGCAGACTCTGGGACCAGGCACCTAAGTCAAAATCTTATCTCTGCCACTACTAGTGAGGTGTCAGACAAGGTACTTAACCTCTCTGTGCCTTGATTTCCTCATCTGTAGAATGGTTATCACAAGTTTGTTGCAAGGATCAACTGAGTTAATGACAAGCACATCCTCACAATGTTCATGGCAAACACAACGGAGGCTGCCTTGACTTCTTCTCCTCACATCCAACCTGTCAGCAAATCCTGCTGGTTCTACCTTCAGAATATACTCAGAATCTGACCAATGCTCACCATCGCCACCCTCCTGGCCCTAGACGCCTTGATCTCTCACCCAGTTTATTGCAATCAACTCCTAAGTGGATAGCAACATGACAGTCAGAGTCCTGCTGTGAAGGGTTGGGTCGTGACACTTCTTGCGTAAGCCCCTCCAATGGCTTTTTGTCTGACCAGAAGTAAAAGCCACACAGCTCTATGGGAAACACAACTGAAAACGTGGCTCTCGGTTCCCCTTGCCTACTGTACTTTTCTCTATAGCATTAACATCCACCCATTTATTTCATTTAATTACTTTATTTATGGTCTATCTCCTTCCACTGGAAAAGAGCTGCAGGAGAGCATGGATTTTTTTTCTGCTTTATTCAGTATTGAATCCACAGTGCCTAGGATAGTGCCTGACAGAAGAATCTCAATAGCTGTAGAACTGATTGAATGAATGTATGAAGTACTTGGAGAAGTTCTTGGGATAAAGTCAGTGTTCAATATCCATTAGGTATTGTTGGTGTTATTATTCTTCCCAGATCTTGGTTGCCTTTTTAAAGAGCTCCTCTATGAGATTAATGCTCCTTTAAAGCCACACAGTACCTCGCACTCTGAAATACCTCCTGGACAAGCTCAGAGCAGAAAAGGGTTGCTACTTTCGGTCTGTCTGCTCCATCTCTACACTGTACCATCCTTAATTCCTTATTAAATATATTTTGGGCAACCAAAGTACACTTATGTACATAATTAGTTAATTATTTAGTTTTGGAAGGAACTGCTGCCAAATCAGCAATGGAATGGACTGAGATCCTAGGAGTATGGTCTTTGGATTAGACACTTAAAACCCTGTTAGTGGTGGTGACAGAAAGTTACCTACACACCACACTGGGAGTCCTGTGGAATAGCCTCAAGTACTGGGGGCTGCACTGGGCCGTGTTTCATTATGTGGATTACATAAAACATGTTAAGTCAGCAGATGCTAATATTTATCCTTATGCTGGTGCTACTTACAATAATATATTACTATATAAAATATACAATAATATATGTAATATATGATATTCTGCAATAATACATTGCTATGATAGTTAATAGATGAATGAATAAACTATATTTAAGATGGATGGCCAATTTTACATATATATACACAGATATAAATATTGGTACATAAATGGATTTTTCACATTTGTGGGTGTATATATTTGTATATACAATGTATATATATGAATGTATATACAATTATAAATGTATGTATTTGGATATATTCTTGATTAAAATATAGAATTTTAAGATTAGAAAAATGCAAACCTAAGGGTAGTTACAATTTTTCACATTTGTGTGTGTATATATTTGTATATACAATGTATATATATGAATGTATATACAATTATAAATGTATGTATTTGGCTATATTCTTGATTAAAATATAGAATTTTAAGATTAGAAAAATGCAAACCTAAGGGTAGTTACTTCTTTCTGAAATTAACTTGGTTGTAATGTAACATACTGTGACTCTATACTATAATAAAAATGATAAAAATTGAGCACAGCTACAATGTTTTGGGAACCAATTATCCTAGTGCCCAAGAAACAGCAAATGGAGATGATCCATCCTTAAGAATCTGAGTGGCATTCTTGTTACACCCTTAATTTGAAGCTCATTTAAATACACACACATTGAAATGTTTTGCAAGCACTAAAGTACTACATAAATTTAAAGTATTATTCTTTTCTTTGAATAAATTAGAGGGACTTGCACTTCGGACAAGTTAGTAAAGCCTACAGTTGAACTAATTCATCTTTCATATTTTCAGTGGAGCACCAGCTATTTAAACACTATATTCAAAGTAGCAGTAGTAATAAAACAAGAGGAAGAACCCTGTTAGCACTTCCCACTGTATATGAAATGAACAGAAATGTGATGGAGCCCTGACATTCATTCCACTTTGAATTCAACAGCATCACCGCAAGTCTCAAGAGACGATATTAAGTTTTGTGTTTGGGTAATAGTGGAAATTCTACAGGCAAGGGTAGAATTATATTTGGTTGGCAAAAAGCCAGTCAAACTTCACACTTGTCCTAAAGGTGGGTGGTCAAAAACTCAATTCTTGTCATCAAACCTATTGGCCATAGTTGCTTAAACTATCGGGGTCCCAAAATCTTTAGTGTTGTTTTGAAGACAAACATTAAGAAATGAGATAAAGTGAGGCAAAGACATGTCTAATGAAAAAGATAATAGGTGAGAACTGACCTTGGGGAAATGCAGGTCTAATGAGAGTATGTTGAATAAAAACAAAGAGGAAAATTCGATTTGCAAAGTGGCATCATCAGATGCATATTTTTTTCTTTGATTTTATTTCTTTAGGACAAAAAGACTTAGAAACCAAGATAAGGAGGGGATGTACTCACAGCTTTTTCCCTGTGCTCTTTAAAATGTGTACTGTAAATTTTCTAGGGTTCATGGTACATGTTTGAAAAGAAGTCTACTTTTGGTGGAAGGAAGTACATGCTCCTTGACAGTCTGGTTTTGCTGTAATGGTATATAATGCCCCTCTCTAATAAATTTAACCACAAAAATCTTTTTTATTGTGTCTGCATTCTGTTAATTTATAAAAAGCAGGATGCTGTCAGATAAAATTTCACGAAAATGATCTATAAACCAGACTGTCAAAAGTGAAAGGTACTCAGGCAGTACTTAGGGGTAACAAATACATGAAAACCACTGGAAAGGGTTCCTGTGACTGTGGTAAAACAATGTACTGTAACAGGCTCACATTACCTTGATTTGCAAGTTACTGTGAGGTCACAGGAAATCCCGAAATGTTTTCCACATTTTCTTTTATACATTTTATGTCAAATTTCCTGCAATTGAAATCATAAACCCTCCTACTGCTGGAATCTCTTCTGAAAGAAAGGAGATCGTTTGACACTCCCCTATGAACACCTAATAACTCAATTCCTACCAGTGTAACTAGAAAATGAAAGACAGAATTGAAAATAGACTATGATAAGACTGAAATGTCAGATGCCCTAATTCTTTCAAAATGAAAACCAAACTGATGTCATTAAGACAACATGAAAAGTGAATTTAATCTAGTGACAGCAGACTTTTCTTTAGAATAAGAGATAACAGGAGAAACGACAGACTGTCTTAAAGACAGAAACTGACGATTTCCCCAAATCTCTTATCCAAAATGTATTTGTGGATTTATGGCCTAATTTAAAAATGGCATCTTCTATATGGATATTCTTAACGTGATTCAAGCTCCTGGCTACCATATCTTATTGTCCCAGCTATGTTTATGAAAGGATAAAGTCAGATTTAAGTAAAATGTTCAAGTTTAAAATATTCTGTAAAGATTTATCATCATAACTGGGGAATTTAAAAATTGCTTTTAAATGGTCAAATACTATTTTAATATAAATCAACAAAATGAAAAAATTACATCAAACGATTAAGGTTCATTCATGAATACCAATCCTTAAGGTTTTGCTGGATCATGAGTTATGAGCATACATTACCTCTCCCGACATATCAGGGGCCATCGGAATAGCAGGCCACAGAGATGAGTAGATTCCAAAAAACACCACCCAGAGTGCAATGCTCCCCCATATCGCTATGTGACTGAACTGCAAAGCAAGGGAATCTGAGTCAAAAGAAGTTTAGGAAGACTGAGCACACAAACACTAAGAATATTTTCACAAATTCCCCTATTAATTTTTTATTACATCCACAAAAATATCATCTATAGGATTTTTTACATAATTGTGTGTGTGTGTGTGTTTTACTGTATCTTTCATTAAGTGCTAATCTGTTCCACAACAATCATCATGTTTATGGTTCTGGAATTCAGAACTAACAGTTCCTTGTCTATCTCCTTTGGTAGTTCTCTCCTCTTTTATCTTTTTTATCCCCTACCATCTTTAAGCTTCCTTTATTTTTGCTCTGCACGTTCTCATTCAAAGATATTAGACGCTTCTGAGATTATCTGTATGCCGATAATTGTCAAATCCAAATTTCTTGTGGCAACCTTTCAAATTTTAATTTCCTTTTGTTTAGTGTCTCTTTACCTGGATGTGGTTATACTGCAAAACTAATGTATCTAAAACAGTATGTGTTTTATCCAGACTGGGTATTTATAAACATCTGAGGTTAAATCTCTTATTATATTATCAGCCTTCAGAATCATCTTCCAATGAGTTTTCTCTGCAGAACACCAGTCTTGTGATAACTCTAAGAAAAGATTTATAGTCAAATAAGTGTGAAAGTCTCCCCAGTTCCTGGGATATTCCCAAAACACAATACCATATTAAAGGTGCTGAGAAGTTCTGTGGTAATAAACTTTTTAAAGTTTATTTAACTTAGTGTTTGCAAACTCAAATCCCCGGTTCTCCCTCACTTTACCCCCAGCACCCCACAAAATTAACGAACTGTGGATTAGGATGAAGGGACATAATCACGTTAAAATGAAAAATAATCAAACTGGAGATAATGCATAATATGGCATTTCTTATTGTGATTAGAGATACTCTTACCCATGTCCAATATGATGTCTCTAATCCAGCTTTCAAACACACAGTTATCACCACAAACTAAAACAGAAGGGGAAAATGTTACTTAATTTCATAAACATGATCCTTCATTGAATGACTGAAAGTGAGACTTATAAAGAACAGATCTCTTTGAATTAAACCATGGGACTAGTAGATTACTTGCTGTTTGCTTTCTATGCCCACTAAGCAAAGAAGCAGGTGAATTAGCATTAGGACTGTGATCAGTTGGGACTGCCCATTCGCAGCATCTCACTCCTGTCTCCCTTCCCTGCCTCTCCTCACCTTCACTGCCTGATAGTCCATCCCAGAGTCTCCTGAGTACACATTGCCTGCTTTTTGTGCAATTCACGAATAGCGAGCGAGAGCGTATATCTGCATTAACTTGGGGTTTCAAGCTTGCTTTGACTTCGTTTTAAATCATCTTTCTACTATAAGCCTGACTCTGAATTTTGAAGATAAACTATAAAAGTAACATAACTGGATATTCAGAACACTTAATACCCTACCAGATAGGATATGTGTCTGTTACCCTTCGATAATATACACACCCATTGTTGGTGACTATGCTAGCAATTCTAAAACAAGGGAACCAGGGCTGGATTAACTGCTCTGTGTTTTCTACAGTATGGCACAATAGCTACATGCACTTGCCCCGGACCCAGAGCAACTGTGCCCAGGACTCCATCACTTATGAGCTGTTGTGGTAACGAACAAGACAACTTACTTCACCTCTCTGTGTCTCAGCTCCTTCATCTGTAAACTGGGACTGATAAAACCTCACGTTTTGTTTTTTTTTTCTTTTGAGAGTAAAATGCTAAATATAAAACACTCAGTGCTGAGCACTGGAGTATTATCTATTATGACCTATTTATAACTAATGATAAAATTTTAAATATTGTTAGTACTCAAGGGAACTTGGGGAACTTTCAGTAGTTTGTGCCAATGAAAGTGATTTTTGCCTAGCACTGGTAATCATAAGAGCTTGAAGTCCTATTTTTAGGCACTTTACATGTGCACACAGTACATGCTTAGACACTTCCCAGTGGGGTCACAAAGTTAGACTGAAGTGAGATAGGTGAGCTGTCTCAGCACGACATTTAATGCCAACTTAGGATTAATATCTGCAGAAATAAAACTCTTATTAAACCTTAATTAATTTAAGCCATATAAAAAGTTCTAAAATGAGAGATACAGTTTGACATAAAATTAAAGAAAAACACCCCCTGAGACGGGTACTTTAAGAGACATCCATGATATACTCTGATTTATTTCTACCTACTCTATTAAGTATTCACATATTTCTGTTTTTGCATTCATGTTGTATGAGAACAAACCACCAGCCCCCTAAACACATTTTTTTGCTTTTCTTTTCCTACTTCAGTGGGTTGATGTCAACGAAAAGGAGACCCCTCCAGATTTGCCAAAACCTTAATCCCTCTGTTACTTAATGGTCTTACTCTCCCATCATTCAGTTATTTAACCACTTGATATTTAAACACCATATTACAGTTTTTCTATCAACTGAGTCATCCATATCGACAGCCACTTGGTCTTTAAAACAGCACATTTTCTCCATACAGAGGAGAAGGAATGGGGCAGAGGAGAAGGAATGGGGCACATGAGTAGACAGGATAGAGCACTGGCTGGAGAATTCAGATTTGAAGTTGGAATTAACTTATCAGATACTGATTGTGTGATCTCAGGCACTGGCATTCAAGTAGTGCTTTTGACTTTTAAAGGAAAAAGGCATAGTGACTTACACACAGTGGGTCCCATGCCTTGGTTACATACCCAAGAATACTTTGGTAATATTTGCTATAAATTCAGGAAAGCAAGAAAATATTAACAATGGTGGTAAAATAAAATTGAGGGGAAATGGAAAAGGGGGGGGAAAAAAAAAAGGGAAAACAGGGCCATAATAGTACAGAGGGATTATTGAAAACAACAGCACCCAAAGTCCTTTAAAGTCAGTGAACCTAAATGACATTTAAAAAACCTAATATATATAATCTCTTAACAGTTAAAACCTCTTACTTCATTACTAAAAGGGAACTGTGAACAACCCTTAAGTCCAGAAATGCACACATTTGAATTTGAAAAAAATAATAAGCACAGATGAAAGGCTTTAATTTTATATGCAAAACAAGCAAGTGTCCCACACTCACAGTGTAAACAAAGTTTCCCAGAAGCAGATAATCAGAAGTTTTTCCATTTCCAAATACAGTACCTATATGAAAAGAAAGAGAGGCTTGTTAGAAAAGAAAATGAGGTTCTTTCAGAATTTTTTCAAAGATAAATCAATTTAGAGCTTTCAAGAAAAGAGGGGGTACCAAGGACACAATGGAGCCAGAAATGAGGTTAATTTAAAACAAACACACACACAAAAAAACACTCACGAAGTTGTTATAAAGTTAGGTCAGTCATTAAAATCAAATTTCTAAAAGCCAACATGAAGAAGGAAACCTGACATGTTAACCAACTCTCAGGGTCCACAGATTGGGGAAAAAAAAAAAAAAATCAAACCAATCATTCAAGGAAAGCTTATAGCTATGGACATTAAGATAGGAGACAGCATTCTGAACCGTATAAAAGAACTCTGTTAACAGTATGGATGACGGTCTTAGGGAACCTTCTTGCTACTTTCAGTAAAGCTGTTGGCATTGGACCAAATGGGATTCATAAAAGCACACAGAGGGCCAAGCAACACCATGATTTCAGGCAGACAGCTCTTTGAAGGGTCTGGCTGAATTTAGGGGCATATTTTAAGGTATTTTGCTATTCCAGCAGTGACTAACAAACGTGGCTTTATTTATTTATTTATTTTTGTCTTTTTTGTGACCGGCAACGGATCGCAACCCTCAGTGTCGCGCCCGCACCTCGTTCAGCCAGTGAGCGGCCGGTCTGTACGTGGGATCCGAACCCTCGGCGGGAGCGCCGCCATGCTCCCAAGCGGAGCACTGTAGCAGTGCGCCACCGGGCCGGCCCCAAACATGGCTTTAGATGAAGGACGTGGTAGCTAAAAAAAATTGTTGTACTACTATTGATATAAAAAAATTTGAATAAAAATAAAAATAACAAAAATTAAATCACTGGCATCACTGAAAAATTTAAAATCCATGGTATGTATAATACGATATTTTATTTATGCACATACTCAACAATATTTATTCAAAGCCTAATATGTAAGGCTTTAAAATATGTTAGAATAAAGCATAGGATGAGACCTGAAGAGTAGTGCTGGTGAGCTTTGGGGAGAAAGAGTTAGTTCTGTTACTGCTTGTGTCATCTTGGGTTATGTATAATCAATCCTCATGGAAATCAGTTTCTTTACCTAAAGTTAAACTACCTACCTTGGAGGAATTTTGAAGTTAAAATGTGATCTTGGTTCAGAACCATTTGCAGCATGACTATTCTCTGGCATTGATATACCACATTTTGTTTATCCATTTATTAGTTGATGGAAATTTGGATTGTTTCCACTTTTTGGAGCAATGGGATATTAAAGTCCAGGGTTCAATTCAGGATACCCTGGCCTTAGACAATTCCAGATAAAGTTTATTTTCAAAATGCAAAACCAATATAGGTGTGAAAGACAATACACACCCATCTATTAAACTGCTATTTCAACATTCTAAATTAGAAAAAAAATTGATCTCAAAAGTTGCATATGCAAGGCACAAAGCAACTCTGTCTGGTACAGGCAGGTTTAGCATTTGGATGATTCACACAAATCACGCCTTTGCATACTTTCTGTTCTCTGGACCCCTTTACACTAAAAAATTATTGAGGATTCCAAGAAGACTTTGTTTATGTGGTTTATACCTACCAATATTTAGCATGTTAGAAATTAAAACAGAAAATTTCAAAATATGTATTAATCTATCTAAAGATAATAATAAACCCAATACATGGTAATATAAACAATAGATTTTATGAAAAATAGCTATTGTCCAAAACAAAAAAAAAAATGAGTGAGAAAATTGGCATTGCTTTACATTTTCACAATTTCCTTAATGCCTGACTTAATACAAGGCAGCTGGATTCTCATAAGTTGTTTTGGTTGGAATATATGAGGGAAATCCAGCTTCACAGTGACATGCAGTTATAAAGGAGAGGAATACTTTAATAACCCTTTCCAATAATTGTGGATATTCTTTGATACTATATCAAAACTCAACAAGTAGTTGATTACAGAGGTAGAGGTAATTTCTTAAAGGTTAGTTGCCAGTGTGGAACCTGAAACTATCAGTGAACTTTTTGTACTCTATTACATTACAATCCACTGGTCTATTTTGCACTTTGAATGGATCTTTCCCCCATGCGTGATTCTGCCAGACAGTTGCGGGCTCAGATCACTACTCAAGCAATCCATGGGGCACCACTTGTTGAGACAACCACTGCCCTTTGGTATGAAGCAGAAAGAAATGCTTTATGGGCACTTCCCATTTTGTCACATAGATTATTATTAAAATGTGTACCAAGTTTCAACATTTGACACAAGCATTAGTTCTATGGCTTCTTCAAGGACATTCTTAAGTGAAACTGGGTGCGTGGCAGTGAAGAATATAATGATGACTAGCACAGAGGCACCACTGTTTGTGCTAAGGGACCAGCAGTCTTACTAGTCATTGCTTTTGCATCAGCACTGAAAAAGACAAATGATGTTTTAATAATATTAAACTTTTTAAAAAAATTTTTATTTTTTATTTTATTGAACCGTAATTGAATATACATATTTTGGGGTTCTATGTTGATCCAGTCAATATTACTAGTATATATATTGTTACAAATTGCACTTACTTTTTATGCCCCTTGTCCAATCTCTTCCTACCCCCCTTTTGCTCCCCCCTCTCACCACTGATAATCCTAGATTTCTTCTCTCCTTCTTAGAGTAATGGTTACTCTGTTGATTTGTTGCCTAGATGATCTGTCCAATGCTGAGAAATGTGTTCAGGTACCCCAATATTATCACAGAGCAGATGCTTCTTCTGTCACTCTGGAATAGCTCTGTGGAGAGGGACATCCTTTTCTTTTCTTTGGTCTCTGCTGGTGACCTTGTGTCAATCCGCTCCAGTGGCTGGTGGACCATCTGCATGGTGGTTGTGATGTCTAGCCACTTCCACGGGAGCCGTGGTTACTGTGGTGGCTGTGGTGAGCCACCCACATGGAGGTGATATTTTTGGCATGCTCCTTGGTGCTGGTGGTGTGCCTGGGTGGGAACTAGTTTTTTGTCCTTTGATTACTTCTAACACGGGGGAACTTCCTGTGGGAACCAGTACTTGAGCTCTGCTTGAAAATTTTGACCTTATGGACTCTAAAAAGGTCTTGGGTATTCCTGGGGGTCTACAGACCACTCATTGAGAACTGCTGAGGCAAGGCAATAAGTGAATATTTCTCTATATATTTATAAAGCGTGTTTATATTTCTTCTGTACCCCAATCCTTTCAAAAACCAAAATCAAACCAAATCCCCCCTCCAAAAAACCCTTATTTAAAAACGAAGAAAGGGCAAACAACAACTATAAAACTCTTAACATAGAACGGTAAAACACAATTTATGCCAGATGTCATTCATCCCTTGACAAAGTAAGCAAGTGTTCCCTAGACTTGGCTGGATTTGGTCTCCATAGGCAGTCCTCACCCCCACCCCAACTGCTCCCACTGAAGTTGGAAGCCTTGGGCAATTTTCCCCCAAAATGCAATGGGAGATCTAGGATCTGCTCCCCAGATGCAGTTACTTCGGAATTCCTTTTAAACTCTGTCATTGCTAAGGTATTCTGGATGCTCTTTGGTTTCAGCTATTTTTGAGATCAAATTTTTTTTTTCTAATTTAGAATGCTGAAATAGCAGTTTAACAGAAGGGCATACCTTTTCTTTCACACCTATATTGACTGTGCATTTTGAAAATGAACTTTACCTAAAGTTGTCTAAGGCCAGGGTGTCTGGAATTCTACCATAGACTTTAATATCCTGTTGCTCCAAAAAATGGAAACAATCTAAATGTCCATCAACTGATAAATGGATAAACAAAATGTGGTATATCTATACCATAGAATATTATTCAGCCATAAAAAGGAATAAAGTATAGACTCATGCTGCAACATGGATGAACCCAAGGTCACATACTATATAATTCCATTTGTATGATAAGTCCACAATAGGCAAATCTACAGAGACAGGAAAACTAGTGGTTGGCAGGAGCTGAGAGGAAGGTAGGGAGAAACAGAGAGTGGTTGCTTATAGATATGGGGTGATAAAAATGTTCTGGCATTAGACATTTGCATAATTCTGTGAATATACTGAAAACCATTGAATTGTACACTTTAAAAAGGTCAATTTTGGGCCGGCCCGGTGGCGCACTGCTATAGTGCGCCGCTTGGGAGCGCAGCGGCGCTCCCGCCGAGGGTTCGGATCCCACATACAGACCGACCGCTCACTGGCTGAGCAAGGTGCGGGCGCAACACCGAGGGTTGCGATCCCGTTGCTGGTCACGAAAAAAGACAAAAAGGAAAAAAAAAAAGGTGAATTTTATGGTATGTGCATTATATATCGGAAAGACTCATTGTGGTTCTCCTGACCTACTGGGTCAATATTCTGTGCTTCAGTTAGATTTTCTTATCATAACTTATTCCCATGGCCTAGAAATTGACAAGTATTTACTGTTGTAATTTACTGAAGAATTAATACAGAAAGGAGATTAAAATCTCTTCCAAAACAGGGACCCACCTTCTCTGTAAGGGAGCATTACAGAGAAGGTGGGTCTCATGCCACATGCTCTTGTTAATTCGTCCACAATTTACTGAGTGCCTATCACAAGCCAGGCACTGTTTTAAGCACTATAAATACAACTAAACCAACTAATTCCCCACCCTTCTGAAGCTTTGATTCTAACAGAGCAGAAAGGCAATACAAAAGAAACAAATATGTCATGCCTTGACAGGGAGGTACTATGAAGAAATACAGGATGGCCAGGGGACAGAGTGATAGGAGCTGTGGGGACAGGTGTTGGTAACTTGTTTGGATAGGGTGATCTGGGAAGGCCTCTCTGAGCATAGACCTGAAACAGGAAGGGAGAGAGCCAATTTGAATATCTGGTGAAGACTGAGAAACAGTACAAGGTGGGGGATTTTGTTCTAAATGCGATAAGCCTTTGTGGGTTACTGAGGAGGGAGGCACCTGGTCTGATTTGTTTTACAAGGATCACTCTGTCTACCTGCAGAGAACAGACTGTAGATGGACAAGAGCAGGCAGTGCTCTTTTCTGTTGGCAACAATTAACTCACGGATAGTAGGTATGGCCTGTACTTATAAAGGACTGACACTTCCTTGGGAGGAGTACGTGTCGTGTTTTTAATTGCTGCAGATTTGAAGTTGACACACTGAATGGCTGGCGTCTTCCCCAGGATCTCAAGGCAAGGTCTGTTCCGGAACACAGCAGCACCGGCTTGAGCATCACAGGGATCTCTTTTCTAAAGTGGCTATTTAATCATTTTTATGTGTACAGGAAATACACCACGGTCCTATCTCTCAAAACTGACAGAATAAAATCACTCCCTCAAAAATGAGCAGGGAAAAGCTTATACTCCCAAATGAACATAACAACATATTAAAATCCTCATCCAAAATACTGGCTCAAGTATACTTGAAAATACTAGCATATCTGATTAGGTTCAGTATAAAAAGCTTGATACAAGCCTCACAGGTATAATAAATAGACTACATAAAATATTAGCACTTATTGTCTTCAAACTGTATATCAGCAGAGGAAAAAAAAGATCCCTAAAATTTAACTCTGCAAGTTTGGAAAACATGAGAAGAAAAAAAGAAAGGCTTTGCATATATTAAATCACTTGGCTCCCAAAGGAATAATAAAAATCTTGAAAGTGTATACAACTTTTGGATGCATGTATTTAGGTTAAGGAAAATACCATAAAATGAAACACTGCTATAATTTTTAACATATATTGACAATGAGTTTTTTTTTTTTTTTTTAAGTAAAAAGTCATCTCTTAGCATTCATATCTTTTCTACTTACCATACTGAAGGGCTTTTAGTGGAAACCAAAACAGAATAACTGAGTGGAAGAGGCCATTTAAACAATGAACCCAGAAAACCTGAGGGAAAACAAAAATCCATGAGAACCATTTGCGATAAACTAGCTCTGTGAACTCTGACCTTTCTTTTTATTTATGAGCTAGATTCACAAAACGTGTTTCTGTCGGGCCACCACTGTGAATTAATAGAACTGACAGACACATTCTGCCTCTTAGACTTTCATGGGTCATTTATTTATTTTTATGTTTCTCAAAATGTTTTTTCAGCTTCTCTTGAATTTTCTCTACTTTTTAAAAACCAAATATCAGAAGTTTAAATTTCTGCCTGAAAAAGAAAATAAAATTTAAAATAAATGCAGATCTTGAAATTCCTTAAGTGGGATTAGTTTCATAATTCCAGAAGAACAGACTTTTAAAAAGATTGAAATTTGGGAAAATTCCTTTCTCTTTCCCACGTGCAATACAAGTGTAAACTTTTCAATGGTGGAAATAAAATGCTTTCTCTCTCTTTCTCTCTGTCTATATACACATATGCACACACACATATTTATATACACATTACATTAAAAATAGCAAGTATAATATTTAAATTGTATAATCATTGGAATAAAGCACTGTGACTATGACTAATTTATTAAAGGCTCTCATGACTTTTAGCTCCTGTAAATACCAAATTTCATGTCATTATAACATCATTTAATACTTATTATTTTTATGTCTATTGTATTATAAGAACAAGAGAGCAAGAACCCCTGGTACTTTCTTTGTAACATGGATGTGAAAGATTAAGTTATAGAAAAACTGTTTCGAATTCTTATGGCTCTCTGAACAGTTGTAGTTTTGCCATTTAAAAGTGCTTCTTGCAAACAAAACTTATGCTAAATGCAATGGGCATGTATTAATAGTTTTAAGCTATTCAAACAACAGAAATTAAGTTGCCTGCCTCACAAAATTTTCCACTGTGATCTCAATCTTCTTTGTTAGTTCACCGAGCCACACTGGATCGTATGATCCAATTTACGCTCCAATACATTACACATTTGAACTTGTGTTACTCATTAACCTTTGTCTCTTCTCCTCACTATGTCATTACTACAAGTTTTTATTTGACAGAAAGCACAGGTGGGTGCAAGAAAAATTAGTTCTACTTTTCCATTTTCCTGACTGATACTTATTGTCACATGCTAATCCTTTAACCCCTGTCACGACCTCAGAACCTCCGACCCTTTTTACCATAACAAACGTAAGCATCGTCATTCAGGGCCACAATGCTTCTACACTTGGGACCCACGGCAACCGCTGTGTAGACAACTATGCATTTTGTAGCCATTTGTCCCTGAATTTTAAAAAACTTATATGGGATTTAATCCGAGACTTCTCACTGAAATCATTAGAAAAATCTGTAAGCCCTATAAAAGATGTTTGGCAACTTGTGCATATAAACCAGAAATACTGTATAACCAATTTGGAGATAGAAATTGCACGGATATGGAAACTGTATAACCTATTTGGGTTGATCTGATGACTTTCTGAAAGCCTGGGCTCTACAGATTGTGAAATACTTTTTCAATAAAGATACAGGGGATGATGTACACACATTAAAACTATATACTACCCACTATACCCTTTTCCCGGCCACACAACTGTGTTCAGGTTGCCATGTACAAAGGGCACGAAAGGATGTGGCTTTGCAGGAATGGCTTTAGGTAATGCTGTGAGGATCGATTTATATGTTTAAGCAGGAGTGACATGGTCAAATCTGTGGCTGGGAAGTTAACTCCTGACATAGCGCCACAGAGTCCAAGCTTTGGCAGATGGGGACCTGTGGCTGAGGATGATACAACTGTCTAGGCTAGTATATCAGTAGGCCTGGAACTTTCTTAGCTCTCAGATCATTTTTTTCAGGGAAACAAGAGCTCATAGTCCATTGTATCTGCCCCGACTGTGGCTTTCCATCATTGAAAACACCCACCAGAGGTCATGAAAAACATTACAACAATGTGGTGGAATTTAATATAAACTGGGCATCATACACAAATTAAAAATTCCAAAAATAAAACATTTAAAAATAAAAGCATGGACAATGTATATTATAAATAGTAATACTTTTAAAAGAGACCACTAAAAATAATTTTTAGCACCAATGATATGAACTACAGAATGCTTCAGTCTGTTTGTTTTTTTAATTAACCAACTTCAGTTATTTGAAACAGTGCCATCAAGTTGTATGGGTGTGCACAGCTGGACACGTGCACGGTGTGACCAGGAAGACGAGTCTCAGAAGAAGACTAACTTCTTGGCTATAAATTTAGCATTATCACTTATGGCGTGAAGTTAGAGGCACTGAAACACCTGTTTCTCTTATATTTTTGCTATACTGAGAAGAAATGTTATCAGAGAGCTTTATGAATTAATAAATATGAAAAATATCCTATGCTGTTATAAATTCAAGACACTGAGTTAAGGTTACACCTAATTATCAGTGACAAACTAATAAACATGCACTATATTAAATGGAAACAATTCTGTGAAGGTATGTTATATTTGTTGCCTTTATAATACAGTGCTGATAAAATACATAAATGTTAAGAGTTTCAAAATGGCATCTATTGTGATTGCTATAATATTAGATTTTTTTTCTCCTCACTCCCACAGAACCCTGAATTATTAACAAATACCATTGGAAACACTTTAGAAAACATATTTGCAAGAAAGTAAACTATATAGAAAAATGACATTTTTTGTTGCTGGGATGAATAAATACCACGGATCACAAGAGAAAACAATAGCCTATAGCTTGTTATGGAGAATATAAACCCAGAATGTGATTTTAGATACAATGTTGACTATTTTATCTTGTATTTTTAATTTTATGCCTTAGAAATACTGAGTACTGTAATCAACAGAGACTATAATTTTAATGCGTGACACAATCACTTTAAAATTCTAATGAGGACAAAGTTATTTCACAGAATAGGAAATTGGGAAAGAATGATGTAATAACTCTCACCCTTTTTTTTACACATGTAAAGCCAGGCCCTGTCAGTCCTAGATGGTTGACCCCTGTGAGGAGTGACCACTTCCTCATAACACAACAAAGCCAGGAAGCCAGAGGACCAAAGGACAATGACTTCTATATGCCAGACCAGCTTTGCTGCTGCCTCGCAAATCTCAGTGAATAGTGGGTACATTTCAATTGTATAACACAAAAAACTCTCTCCTGCCAAGTCAGAAACTTAAGAAATATGACTTGCCATGGCCGGCACACTGAAGTTGTGTGGCTAGTGTCTCCTTGGCTTTGGAAAACCAGATGTCCCTAAGTAATTAGAATAGTAAAGCCAGCCCCACCAAACACATGCCAAGGCATCATGTCTTACCTTGGTGTTGAAGTCCAGGGCGTTCTGCGACGTTTTGTATAATTCAGGGTACTTCAACATATTCTCTTTCCTGCATGATCTCTCGAATATTCCAAGAGTTAAGGGAGGCATTGCTGTGAACATCTGAAGTGTACAAACTGGTCATTACGCCAAGCAGCCAAATCCAGGGTGAACTTTTATCTCAAAGTATTCAATAAAACAGGAATGATTAAATGGCTTAAACTTACCACATTATATAGACCTATACACCATCTTTCAAAGAGGATCTGTCCAGAAAAGCCATTAACGAAGGCAAACCAGATCTGGGAAGAAAACAACCCAAGACCCCCACAATTAGAACACAAAAACACGCATGCATTGCTTAGAATTTGTTGCCTACCCAACCACTGCATAACGGCAGCATTAACATATTATTTTCACAGTTTTCTTAAAAGGGAATTTCTTTGCTTTACTTTTTGATTTAAAGGGATGCTTTCATAAGATATTTGTTATTTAAATCAGAATTGGTTCTATTTGCTGAATCAAAAAAGAATTATACGAACAGGCATTCACAGATTTAAAAAATTAACTACAATCTTGTTTCTAAAAGGCACTTTAGGGAATATATTTATATGTTATTAAATTTTTACAACTCTGATTCCTTTTTAAAATATCTATTCGGATATAGTTATATAAAGACCATTATTTTTTATTATAAAAGTTAACATGTGTTTATTTAGAAAATAATTTCCTGTACAGTAATAATACAATCACAATACAATCACTATTTTGTTCTACATTGGTTGTATTCATATAGTTCACTTAAATACATTCATAAATTTACCTTACTAGAAACCTACTGTGTCATATCCTGCTCCTCCCCTCTTAACACTGTGTAATACGCATTTTCTTAAGTTGTTATATATCCTTTAAAATGATGTTAATGGATATATAACTTCTACAGGGTGAATATAAACTATTTTGGACATTTAGCTTACTTCCAGGTTTCGCTATTATAGGTAATTCTTAACTTAAACCCTATTCATTTCTTTTTCCTTAGAATAAATTCTTAAATATAATTAACGGATCAAAGTATGTAAGTTTTTTTGTTGTTGTTGTTATTTTTAACAGTTCTTGATAATTACTGCCATCAGACTGTTAAATTTGAATTTATGTATTAAAATATTTTTAACTTAAATTGTCTGCTTTGATAAAAATCAAATCTTTAGCTACCATAGCATAATTTTCTTATACATTTTACAATTCTCTTTGAAATAGCAACCTTAACTTTGGAAACAAAACCAAGGGGCAATATAGAGAAGTTTTTCTCTAACATGTTTAAAACATATGGAAAGTTAAAATGACTACTAGAAAATCAATAATACCCATGTTATTTTTTAAAAGGCAGACCTAAAATATAATTAAACATCAAGTTGATCTGAAAGAGTAAAAAGGCTTGCCCAGCAACGAGATTACATAAACACAAACACAAAACAAAACAACAACACTGTTCGGGGAAAGCAGTCTTGACATGTAGTACAAGTGAATTTTTGAATCAGAGTCACAGGGACTTTGCTACACTTCACGTTTCATTTAACCTCATTATGGAAGCATGAATTACTACAAATTCACCATTTATCAATACATGCTGGCCTCCTTATGAACAGTTTCTGTACCCACAAAGATCTTCCTTTTTATAGTGGCATGGAATGATTAAGCATTTATGAAAACGAATCTCTGCTTCATGAGATGGAAAAGAAAACTAAGTAGCAGTAGCACATGAAAAATAAATCAAAATTGTATTAGGGTTGTAGCTAACAACAATAACAAAAGCATAGATATCAGAGTAAAATCTGAAATTCTTACCTGCTTTACTACATGTGTTTATAGAAAAATTTTGAACATTTGCTCTAGAGAAGGAGCCAGAGGATTTGAGCATGCAAACCTTAAAAGAACTTAGCACCCTCATGAGAAATTAAGCTTGCTCTTTCATAGTGAGTATACACAAGTGGACAAAACAGACTTTAATGCTTTCTATTGTGTTTTCGCGTTTGGCCTTTTTGAGAGGTGGATTACGTAAATACATATTTGTGATACTCCGACTGATGGTAATATTTTCCCCGAAAGCAACTGAGATCTATTGCAATAAAACATGCTAAGAAGCTCTTTCAGATTTCTTAGGGTACGATGGAAATATAAGGAATTTTTAGATACAAACTTTCAATTATGGCCTCTCTAGTCTATGAAGACACACACAATCCAATCTTTGTTGGTCTGAAGAAAGCCAAAGCTCTCTGTATCCCAAATTTGTCCAATGGACATGGTTTGGCTCAAAGGTTAAAATGCATTTACAATCAATAATGTATAATATGAGAAGTTTATGTTAATAAATTTGTGTGTGGGTAAATATTTGTAAAGGTGAATGGTCCCCTAACTTCTTTGCAGATAACATTTGGTACAGATTCGAAGGCTACTATGAGCTTGAAATTAAAGACCCTCTCTCAAATCAATGAATATTTACAGAAAGTTTCAAACTCAAAATAATTTGCAAAAAAACTGAAGTGTCTGAGCTCAAAGTGTATTTTAAAATGCATAAATTAACTGCTTTATGACACATAATTTTTAAGTGGAAAGCTTTCAACACATTTTTACCATTTTATTCTTCCTGCTGAACCTGATTTTAGAAGTTTACTTCCAGAATTTAAAAAAGTTAATATTCTAATTTCTTTTTTTTTTAAAAAAAGGGGAAGAAATGACTAGATAAGAGCAGAACCTTTCAATATAGTACCCTACGTCTTCACACAGATATTCTGGAATTCAAGTTTACATATTTTAAAGGAGAAAGAGAAGGTCTTGAACAATGAAGTAATCTACCAGAAGGCTGATTTCAGGTTAGTCTAAAATTTGTAGTTTAATGATATATTAGAAACATATCCCATGCTAAATAAAATAATACCTAAATTCCCATAACACATAAAAAGTCTCTCTTATGACTCAACCAAAATCATGAATACAGAAATAAAAACACCGGTACCTCTGGCGAGGTGTCTAGATTACTCATATTCATAGAGGATCCATCTCCCACACAACTTATTGGGAAAGTATCACCTTACTGACTTTAATCAAAGCTTCTGGAAACTAGAAACACTACAAAGTTCTGGGATCTTACCAGAAAATCTGGATGTGACCAATCATTTGAAAGAAAAGATCTTATTTTGCTGGGAAGGAGTCAGACGTTTCAGAGAAATAAAAAAATCCCTTTAGAAAGAGCCAATAGTTTAAATGAACACCTAGAGCTGCCTCAGGGTAGCTAACATAAATAAGAGCTTTATACCACCACTTAGCAAATCTGTATTTATCTGTTTGGCTGTAATTTACAGAACTGGAGTAGCTAGGTAGTGACATTACTAGTAATACAGCAATGGGACAGTTTTTGCAGATAATCTATGAAACCCATAGTTTTCAAGACTATTCCTTTATTAGCAAAGAAACTTCAGACCTGCCTCTCCTGGTATTATTTTCTGAATTCCACCTCCTAGCAGAGGCGTGGCAGCTAAAGCTTCACAGACATTTTCCTGATGGAGCATTTCTGCATATTAAACAGCAGCTTACAAATAGTCAATGAGTCCTCTGCTCCCACGCCTGATCAGCACAAAAAACTGAAAGGAGAGATTCGAGACTGGCAGTTGTCCTCACTAGAGACATTCAATGATGTGTTTTCTGTCTATTCATTCACAGTATTGACATGAGCCATTAACATCTGCAGAACTTGTTTTAGCTGGCAAAAGTTGGGTATCTGGGAATTTATTTAAAAGGTCAATTCATTTCCAAGACAGTTGAATTGTACTTAAAATACACTTCCATAAAGTGCTAAAAGAAAAAGAAAAATGAGATTTCCAGTAATGTTTAGAACTCACTTCCTTTTCAACGTGTAAAGAATTTGATCAGTGTTAAATACTTCATGAAGAGGCTTTAAATTCCAAGCCAACTGAAAGTCAGGGCAAATCAACCTCAAGTCACATAATTCTGGATTTGAAACAGATCATGCAGATTTAGTTTTCATTTGAGTTTAATATATTTTATTTCCCCATTAGTACATAAAATTTCTCCACTTCAATGTTGACTGTCAATTAATATAGATTTAAAAAGTGCAAGTTGAGTACTTTTATTTCAATTTTATAAAATTAAATTTTTGTAAGCAGATTTATTGCTGCCAGTGGCTTTAAACTCCTGGTATCTTCAAAAGCCTGTGTAAACAAATATTACAAATTGATAATCTTTTGAACTGTCAATATTTGGGAATGAGAAGAACATATAATTAGAAATTCTAAGTTAGATATATACAAGGGATTGGGAATCAAAATAATTATTTTAGAAAAGAATCACATATGCTAACTACCCTGATTTGATCATTATGCATTACACGTATATCAAAATACCACTCTGTATTCCATAAATATGCACAATTACTCCACGACAATTAAAAAAAAAATCAAAAAAAAGAATCTCAAAGTTATATATACAACAAAGTATACGTTTTTTGGATCTCAAACTATTTTGGAAGTGAATTTTGCCCTCAAACACTGATCATTCCAGGCCAAATCTATCAGTAATGAACAATAAGTAAGCTCATGAAGTATCTTGTTCATGTTTCCAAGTATTTGATTATTTTACCAAATGGGCTGTCACCTAATTATAGATTTTTAGTGACCAATAAATGAAACTGCCTGTATTCTTCAAACTAAGTTTCAGTTTTACTAGCCTGACATAACTATGCTCAGTCAACATTTTAATAAGAAGGTAAGCATTCTGACAGAGGCACGAAGAACAGCTGAACCAAACACACAGAAGTGTCCACCTAATTTGTCAACAGGATAAATGTGGAATCTACTGATTTTTTTTGTTTATAGTGTTACTTCTCTGGTGTAAAGCATGGGATATTATTTCCATACAGTAAATGGTTTCTACCTATCTTTTCCAACAGATAGGTAGAAACAGTCAACAGATTAGAGGGCAAATGTCATGGCCAAACATCTGTAAGGAAGCCCTTGGCAGATTTAGGAAGGTGTGGTGGGTCCCTGACAGGGGTGGAAGATGGTAGGGTTTTTTTTTTTAAACAAGCTATGGGGAGCTCATTGCCATGTTCTGCAGAGCTGCAAGAGGAACATGACACTGATAACATCTAGAATTTAATTGCTACAGATACAGCTTCTAATGATAAAATGACCATATGTTTAAAAAGGCAAGTAGTTTATTACATCCTGATTAACCATTCAGTTCACTTATTTATACACTATTGCTGTGCTGTCCAGTATGGTAGCCACTGGTCACATGTGGCTCTTGAGCACTTGAAATGTGATTTCTCCAAATTGAGATGTGCACATTAGATTTTGAACACTTAGTACAAAAAAAAGAATGTAAGATATCTCATTAATAATTTTTATAGTGGTTACATGTTGAAATGATAATATTTTGAATATGCTGAGTTAAAATATATTGAAATGAATTTGGGCTTTCCTTTTTGCTACTGTGGCTTCTAGAAAATTGAGAATTACACGTGGCTCACGTTATACTTCTACTGCCAAGCTCCTGGAGGACAGGAACCATGCTTGATTTACTCTGTAGTTGCCAAACTAAGCCGGTGGCTGGTAGACAGTAGGTGCTACAAATATATTTGTAGGACAAAATGCACTGTTTTAGAAGTGGTATTCCTGCCCCAGGTTATTTTTTAAATTATGGTATATCTGACACATGAAAGGGATTATAGAAATCCCTTGCTATTCAGACATAGAGACTGAATATTCTGATAGTTTTTAGACAAATTCCTCATTTTCTGAACTCTTGCTACTCATCAAACTCAGATACCAAAACATCTGGAGAGTGAAGGATACTAGTAGATAAAATCGATTTAAGTTTTGAAACACAATAAGAACTACAAGACAACCAATACTAACTAGCTAAGCTACCTGTGTCTCTTCCTGATTCTACTCCTTTCCCTCCCCACAGAATTAGAACTGTTACCCTCAGCTTTGTGTTTATCATTTCCTTTCTTTCCTTTTTAAATACAGTAGTCCCTCTGTATCCATGGGTTCTGCATCCACGGATTCAACCAACCACAGATCAAAAATACTAAAAACCAAAGCAAACAAAAACCAAAAAAAAAAAGAAACAATAAAAAAGAACAACATGACAAAAAAAATAATACAAATTAAAAAAGCAATATAATATAAAAACTAATTATGTAGCATTTACATTATATTAGGCATTATAAGTAATCTGAGATGGTTTAAAGTACATGGAAAAATGTGCATAGGTTATATTTAAATATCATGCCATTTTATATCACGGACTTGAGCTTCTGTGGATTTTGGTATCTGCTGGGGGTCCTGAAACAAATTCCCCATGGATAAAGAGGGACAACTGTACAGTTTTCCATATGTGTATTATCTCTCAACAGTGTACTTCTTTCTTTTTGTATGTTTTTGGGTTTTATAAAAGATGCAGTCCAGCTTACAGTCTTTTTAAAATTGAAAACATTGCTTCATTAACAATTTTAATTCAGCATTTCTTACCAAAGCAACATGACAGTTTTAGCCAGTATTTAAACATTAATTATTCTCCATGGCTGGCAAACTTCTGCTTTCACACATGTAGAAGTTTATAAAAAGTAAGCGAGCCAATGAGGTATGAACTAAAACAATGAGAAAATGTCTTCATAAGGAAAATTTCTTTAAATATGTATGCAAATGACAAGGATTTTAAATTTAACCTGCTATTACCTCGATGATATAGAGGACTATATTCTTGTAGAAGCAGTACAAGATGCACTTGGAGACTCTGTTATAATTCCAGGCACCATGAACCATCAATAAATTCTTCAAATACTTGAACTAAAATAAGAGTGGAAAAAAATTAGTATTCTCCTTTTCATAGAGTCAGTTGACGAAGAGGATGGGCGTGTTCTCGAAGCAGTAATGTCCTACCTGAGCTATGGAGTAGTCAGAAGAATTCGCTGCCTGCAGTCCTTCATTGCCACTTATGCCGACACCAACATGCGCCGTCTGTATCATGCTGACATCGTTTGCCCCATCACCGATTGCAAGTGTTATGACTTTGACTTGTTTCTTAACCATCTCCACGACTTCAGATTTTTGAAGAGGAGAAACTCTTAAATTAGAACAAATGATCAATTACTTGTTTTCTGAAAAAGGAAATTTTGAAATGCCATTGTCTTGAAGAATAAAAAATGTAAAAGATCCAAATGATAGTTCTCCGAAGAAACGCTATGGGAAAATCTTGGGTTTGCAAATATTTAGTTCTCTGTTAACCTGGTTGCCACTTCAAGGCAAATTTAAAAAAAAAAAAAAAAAGTCTCAGAAGCAAACCCCAGGTAACAGCTAGAAGATACAATGTTAGAAGATACAAGCTAGCTAAGCACTAATTACTAACAAATAACATCAAAATTTCTAATTATTCACTTTTGAATTAAAAAGGTCATAAAAGCTGCTCAATGGCAGTCCAAATACTACCTAAATCGTATACAGTTCCTGGAAGGTAAAAGTTTTAAGCTTCTGCAAGGCTTTCCAGGATGTTTGCATTAATTTGTTAAAGAAATAATATTTGAGTTCAGAAAGTCCATTAACTCCTAACAAATAACATCAAAATTTCTAATTATTCACTTTTGAATTAAAAAGGTCATAAAAGCTGCTCAATGGCGGTCCAAATACTACCTAAATCGTATACAGTTCCTGGAAGGTAAAAGTTTTAAGCTTCTGCAAGCTGGTCTTAGATAATTTGCTATAAGCTTAAAACTACTTAAAACTCTACTTAAATTAATATTAGGGTGTTGGTTAACCTCTTAACCCATTCTCAGACACAATGGTGAATCTCAACCAAAGTAAATACCAAGCACTTGATCATAATTCATGTACTTCATTTTCTTCCAAAGCCATTGATTAATGGCCAAATAGAAATCAAGCAACCTTCTATACAAATGTGGATCAGGAAAAGATGACATTAGCATCTATACTAAAATCCTATGTGATATTAAATTTGGAGTAACTTTTTATAGCCATTTAAGAAATAAACTTCAAGCCAGTGACAGATGGGTTCAAAGACAGAACGCATCAGCATAATTAATACATTGTCCACACTGTATTGGAGATTATAGAGAAAGACAGAGAAAGACTAAACGAAGAATTGGTCCAGCAAACTATTAAGATAGTAATTAAATAGTAATAAACAACTAACACAAACAATTTCGGTGGACAAGAAAAACATCTCAGAGGTAAATTCTTTATCAAAATTAAGTTGTGTAGGTATCTAATAAATATTTACTGAAACGTGATAAATTATTTATTTTCTATTTTAAAATGAAGATCATTACTCTGAAAGAATTAAGATATCGTTGCACATTTTACACATATGTGCCTTCAGTAGGCCCCACTGCCCTGCTGAAGGGCTTCAGCCAGAGCAGCTCTGGTTTTTATTCCAAGTTAGAGAATCATTGCATTAGACTGTGAGTTACTTGCAGACTGAATCAGTCTTCCCTTCTTTGTATTCTTAGTGCCTGATCCAGAATAGTTACTCAATAAATGGTTGCTATATGAAAGAATTATTTTTAATTTTTTCTTTGGATTTCCTTTCAGAGTCTGGCAATAGTACAAAATGACACAGCTGTGAACTCAGCAAGGGAATGAATGAGTATCAGGCCATTAATGGGCTATTTCACTGTTGGCCCCCATTTTTCTTTGAAGTGATTTTCATTTCATTTTCACATGTTATTTAATTTTTCTTAACAGGCTAATATACATTGGTAAGTCCACTGGCTCTAGGCCAATGTTTTAAACATGGACTCTAGCTGACATTTAGTAAATGTCAAAAAAGAATGCTCACCAAGAAATGATGATCTAGAAAGCAAATGGGAAATGGGCATGAAAAGAGGAAAGCATTTGAAAACATTTATCAAATTCCCTTGAACAAGCCAACAGTATGACTACATTATGATGTCACACCATGGGATCAATGGAGCTAGGAAACACGGTGGTACTTTTTCATAAACTGAACCTGTAATAAAGGAGAAATCTCTGCATGGTGAGCTAATACTAGTGATTTAAAGAAGCATCAGAAAAGAGCTGGACTAAACTTTGTTTTCTTTCTTCCTGGTGATTACAACCAACTACTACTTTCTCTGCTTGATAGTGCAATTTTCAATAGCCCCAAATTAAAGTTGGCTGAGGATTTTCACCCAACTCCATGAGTATGGTTAACACAGGTGTTAAAAACAAAGACTAGGAATGCCCTTAGCAAGAACAATGCCTGTTAAAAAAAAAAAAAAAAAAAAAAAAAAGTTGGCTGAGGATTTTCACCCAACTCCATGAGTATGGTTAACACAGGTGTTAAAAACAAAGACTAGGAATGCCCTTAGCAAGAACAATGCCTGTTAAAAAAAAAAAAAAAAAAAAAGATGATATAGTGAGAGACATCCCCAAAAGTACACGACAACTGGTACTCACAAGGGCATTTGCTGCTGTTGCCAAACTAAAAGTAGATAATGGGCTTGGAAGAAGATTCAAGCTCACTTCAGGTAAAAGAATTAAATTTCACATTCAAAACACTCCAGAATATATTCCTTTCTACTGCTGTGTTTCCACCTCTTAAAAGGTTACTTACTCCACTCACCAGAGTTTACCTTCTTGACTACTGTACACTTGCTTCTACATTTGGACAATTTTCATTGCACTCTAGCACAACCTTAGCACACAAGTTAATTCTCCCAATATTTACCAAAAACCCCATATCCACGGCTGAGAATAACTAAAACTTAAACTTTACAAGAACTAGTAGTGACCCAACCTACACTTTGGAAACATCATAAAAGCACTACTTTCTTCCCCCAGATATTTTTTCTTTTACCACTTGTGCGTCCGTGTCAGGATTTAAATTATTCACAGTTCTCCTCTCTTCCACTGTTGCTTTTTCTTCTTTGGGAGAAGAGACTCTATGGAAAAAGACTATGTATCCAGTGTGTACCATAAAGGTCTGTTTTTCTTCTCTGTGGCTCCACAAACAGAGGGTGGTCCTTTATCTAGAAGTGAACTGAGTGTGATATGCTTTTCAGATATCACTTTGGCTGTAGTTTCTCCACATGTTATCCATTATTTTTCTTATTTGCTATGTAGTAACTTCTCACTGCCCTGTGAACATTAGATCAGAACACTGGAAATTTTTACCATTTCAGCTAAGTAGTGTATATAGGTGGTCCCTCTTATATGAGCCTTATTTTGCATTCTTTTAATGGGATTAGCTAAATGAATCACCTTTCTGAATGGAATATGGACAAAGATTATATGTACAAGCATATACAGAGACACATAATAAAGAATATTTTGGCCTTCTAGAAGCTACCACTCATCAAATAATAGAATTTTGCAATCAGGAGTTCCTGGGTAAAAAAAGGACTGAGGATCAAGATGGTGGAACAGATGGTCCCCAGCATCACTCTCTCCCATAATCAACCAATTTACAACTATTTAAAAGCAAAGACTGCCAAGCTGGGGCTGTTAGAGCTCAGGGGAAGAGGAAGAGAGACCTACGGAGTTCATGAAAGCAGGAGAAGCCATGATGAGAGAAAGAAAGGACCACTCTAACCATTTTGAACCCCAACCACTTCAAGCCTGGCCCTGGTGAGCACACGGAGCAAGAGCTGGCAAAAGCCGCTACTGTGCCCTTTGTGCGAAGTTGCTTGGAGAATGCAGGGGAGAGGAGGGCCTTGGTGACACTAGGGCCAGCAAGACCACTGACAGGGTTGCTGTGGACTGACATATGAGTGAGGGGCCACAGACAACTGAAAAAAGGAGCCACTCAAAGGCCAGTGAGTCATTGCAAGGCATCAGTGCATGGCCCGCCCCATGAGAAGTGTCTGGATGCAGGGGGTGGGGGAGACAGGCCCACTAGAGGAACACTGGGACACAGCATGGACATCTGATCTACCCCCCCCAATCAGCACAGGCCCACTCAGTGGAGACTTCAGACTTCACCACACCCCTCCACCCTTCACAACTAGGCCAGAGAAGGAACCAGCCATGGGCCAGCCCCACCCCCCCACCTTTGTTCCCCTCTCCCCTCCACCTCTGCCCCACTGCTCTGCAACAACATCTTAGAAGGTAAAAAAAAAAAAAATAATAATAATAAATAAATTTTAAAAAACCAATAATTTGATGAGAACTACAAATCACTGTTGAGAGAAATTAAAGAGGGCACAAGAAGATGGGAAGATATCTCATGCTCTGGGATTGGAAGAATTAACATTGTGAAAATGTCCATACTACCCAAAGTGATCTACAGGTTCAACACAATTCCCATCAAAATACCAATGCCATTCTTCACAGAAATGGGGAAAAAAATCCTAACATTCATATGGAACAACAAAAGACCCCAAAATGCCAAAGTAATCCTGAGCAAAAAAATAAAGTTTGAGGCATAACACTACCTGACCTCAAACTATATTACAAAGCTATAGTAACCAAAACAGCATGGTACTGACATAAAAACAGACATAGGACCAATGGAACAGAATGGAGAAACCAGACATCAGCCCATACACCTACAGCCATCTGACCTTTGACAAAGGCACCAAGTGCACACACTGGGGAAAAGACTGCCTCTTCAATAAATGGTGTTGGGAAAATTGAACATCCATATGTAGAAGAATAAAACTAAACCCATACCTCCCACCATATACCAAAATCAACTCAAACTGGATTAAACAGTTAAATATACATCCAGAAACTATAAAACTCCTAAAATATAACATAGAGGAAACACTTCAGGAAATAGGACTGGGCACAGACTTTATGAATATGACCCCAAGAGCATAGGAAACCAAAGGAAAAATAAACAAATGGGATTATATTAAACTAAAAAGCTTCTGCACAGCAAAAGAAACAATTAACAGAGTCGAAAGACAACCAACAGGATGGGAGAAAATATTTGCAAATATGTATCTGATAAAGGATTAACATCCAGAATATAAAAGGAATTCAAACAACTTAACAACAATAGCAAAGTAAAACCAATTCAAAAATAGACAAAGGACTTGAATAGACAGTTATCCAAAGAAGTTACAGCCAAAAAACAAGTAACCCAATTAAAAAAATGGGCAAAGA